ATAATAAAAAGAACTACTTATTGTTGCGCAGCAGAAAGTTATCAGGTTGTTTATAAATTGTCTGACCGATTGTGAGCCAGTTCAGTTTGGTAAACTGATGGGAATGTATGTAACTGGAGCTGCTACCATTTTCTTATACTAGTATCCTACAGTGGGTCCACCGAAGAAAATCGCCCAGGGAAATAGGGAATGGAGACACCTAGTCTAAACATCTAACATGAATCTCGATGCATATAATACTCTCGGTTATCTGTGCATTAAACGTTATCTGTCGGTGCAGTAGCTATTTTTGTGCGAAATGCAACTGGCAGACTACTGACTGCACCGGTAGCTCATTGATAGCTGTTAGTTGTATGTATATCAAAACTCCTGCTAGACCAGGTATCTTTATTTCCTATCTAACTAAATAATTAGCTATATAGGTTCATTTGTAGGAATTTTTCCCCCATTAGAAGAGGTCACGTGGAAACAAATATTAGTTTTCAGCCTATATTCAGGTGATTGCTTCAGTATTATGCAACTTTTTTACTTTGTCACCTTCATTCTAGGACGAGCCATGATCATCTTTTCTGACCATCATCAGTGATGTAATACCTGATAAATTTATTTATGTATTCTTCTTACTTTTTAATTATACAGGGGGGATTTATTATAAACAAGTTACTTGTTACTTTGGCTAAATTTCTGGAATTTATTGCCGTCTCATGATTGCACCACAATGAATAACTGATGCATTTGTGATCCATTATTCTACACTAGAGAATACAAATGCATAAGCATAGCATGATCAGCAAACTTTGTGACTTACCTTTCTGCTTTGCAACACATCACATACTCAATGAAGCTGTCTTTTAAGTTTTTTAGTGAAGAGCCCTTTTATATATCCTCAGCTCACTCATATTAGTACCAATTTTACTGAGGTTCATTCCAAATCTCCAATACTTATCATCACTGAAAAAAAAGATAATGATATTTTTGCCTAATGCCAATAATATTTATAATAGTTTTATAAACTTTACCCTCTTTAGTAGATGATGGTGAATCCGAGATTAATCTGGAGCAATGTTTAGGTGGTCTATATTATTATTATTATTATTAGGATTTGCTGAGCATGACAGGATGACTCATTAGTAAAATGAGCTATTAAGAAATAGATGGGACGAGACTCGTACGGCAATTGAGAGCCAGACTCTGAATGAGGAGTCGAGTTTGCTGGCTCCCCCATTGAATGAACTGGAGGAAGATGTTGTTATTGTTGTGGGTAAAAAGCCCTTGAGAGGTAAATTAAATAACAGAAAGTAAGGCCCAGGCCTACTTAGCTTCCCCTTACTCGAGGAAGAAAAGTCTTTTTTGATGTTCTACTCTCTATTAGCCGACCTTTAAAAAGATTTCGAAGACATCCTAAAGTTATTCATATATCCTCTAATGATTTCACAACTTGACATAGAGGCAAATTTGGAAGAAAAAACATATACAATTCACTTCCAACTTTACCATTAGACTCACGTTGAACATCCAACAAAAAAAGGAGGGAGGGGTTAAAGAACTACTTTCAGAAAAACATCACAGTACAACTGTTAAAAAAACAAAAAAAATGATAAAAATTCGTGATTAGAGCATTAGAATCACTGGGATCTTGTAATTGTGGTCTTTTGAAGGTGAGACTTGAGAGTCATCAAAGAGGTATCTTTCCCTCTCTCTTATATCATATTATTCTCACTCTGTTTAAACTAGCTCTGATGGATATTATAACGGTACTGATGATGATGTAGCTGGGTGATATCATTCTTTGATTGCAAATTTTCTCTGTTTTTGTTTGTATTATACTCCAGTGAGTTACGATAATATTTGTGATGATTCTTATCGGTTCAAAATTTTCTTTTTTTTTTCTTTTTTTCTTTCGTCAATACAATCATATTAGAACCTTCTAACCGTTCGTTTCATCCTTTTTTTTAATTTCACACGTATGTGCCTTGTCAGGCACATGTAGAAGAGTTCTAGTTCCAATTAGGGGTTGTTTGGTTCGTTTCCTAGATATAGGGAAATGTAATTCCATATAAAGAAACACAAGTTTTTAGTTTTCTAAACTTTTTCAAGAAATAGATTGTTTTGGTTTGGTTCGCACAAAAAAATGGTGGGAAACCAATGTTTTTACTTTTCGTGTGTTTGGTTTGCATGAGAAAAAAAGGGAAAACTTTTGTTGATTTGACATTTCCCACTTTTCTTGTGTTTGGTTGGTTTTGAAGTGTGTAGGGAAAAGTTTGTGCTAGTTATGAGATGTAATCTTAATCATATAAAAGTGCGAATGTATCATGAACAAATAATAATAACCCGAATGAATTATAAAAAAGTGCGAATGTATCATGAACAAATAATAATAACCCGAATGAATTATAAATTTCTGTTTGTATTAATAAAATCATACGAAACCTGAAATCATTTGAAACTTACTGTAACATGAACTGCGTACCTGATTTGACATGAAATATACCTGTTTGAGATGAAAATAATCACACAAAACCTGTTTTCCAAGAAAAAATAAACAAGACCTGTAATAACCTGATTATTCATAAATTTATGAAATATGTACCTGAATTAGCCAAAAAAATTTCTGAAACCTATAAAAACATATAAACGGCCTGAATAGCCATATTTTAGTATATAACATAGCAAATAGCATCGAACCTGATAATTTATGCATGTTGAACTTTATGTGCAAAAAATCATTTGAAAATATTTCTTGACATCATGTCAAATAAATCAGCCACATGTATATGTGAATTATGACTGTGGGCTCAGAACTTGTTCAATATCATCATTGTTAGCCATCCAGTGCAATATCAATAGATATTGCAGGTTGCTAATCTCAGAAAAATTGACAATCATCATAGCCTAAATTGAACACCCACAAACAATATCATAATCAACAAACAGTGCGGAAAAATCTGAACACACATAGAACTCCACAAAACATGAGCTCAAATAGAAGTTGAACAACAGAGCATACACAAAACATGAGCTCAAATAGAACTTGAGCAAAAGAGAAGATGTCATATGTGCACAAAACATATCACAAACCAGAGCTGGTGTGCACAAACATGAGCTCAAAGAGAAGTTGAACAACAGAACATGTATTCAGGAAACACCCACCAACCTGGAAGTTGTCACAAACCTGGACACAACAACAAACCCAAAAACCAACCTGGAAAGAAATCACGAACCCAACAACAAACAAGAACATCTTTTAGCAACCTGGAAGGAAATCACAAACCCAAATATGTAATCAACACAAACAGATAATTGTGTTCAGCAACCACAAACCAGAACCACTATTTAGCAACCTGGAATGAAATCACAAACCCAACAACCAAAAACAAAAGGAACAAAATCAGAAGGAACAACCAACAACAAGAACAACCAACAATCAGCAACAACAAACCCAAAAAACCACCAACCAACAACCAGACCAACCAACAACCAGCAACAACCAACAACAACAACCACCAACCAAACCAACCAACAACCAACAACGACAACCACCAACCAGACCAACCAACAACCAGACCAAACAACAACCAGCAACAATATAATAATTAATATAATTTTATTTATAATAATTAATATAATTTTTAGTTAATTACAGTAACATTTTTAGTTAATTACAATAATATTTTCAGATAAATTTCTGTTAATTTCTAGATAACTATAGAAAATGCAAAATTTCATCCTAATAATTCAAATCATACAAAATTTTTAACAAATCAATTCTGAGTTGAGAATCATACCTTAGGTCTGAAATCAGTTTCCAGGAAGATCAAAGTCGGCAAAAAACCCCAATTTTTTCCCAATAAAGGCGCTGATAAAATCTCCTTATGAATGTAATTATTATAACAAGAACGGATAGTGCAGCACCTTGAACCACATTAACAACACTTTGTTCATTGGTACAATCCCCATCACCATCCATCTACGATGCAAAAAATCAAATTGAAATAATTAATATACCTACCAAGCATTCATATGCAATGTCAATAATCAAAACTTAAATGACACATAACAAGATCTAAAGTTAATTTTCAGTTAATATTTTCATCAATATTTTCAATTTCTTTTACGACCATTTAAGATAATTGTCAGTCCATTTCTGTTCTCTTTTCAATTATATTTATAATAATTAATATAATTTTTAGTTAATTACAGTAACATTTTTAGTTAATTACAATATGTGGAGCGGGTGTCAGGAGGAGAAAAACGTTTCCACGGCTCAAAACAGCGAACCAAACGGGCCCTTAACCTACTTGTGTATTACAACAAGCAAAATTGTACTATCCTTTTTTGTAAATTACTAACAAAACGTATGGCTCACTAAAAATAACTAAACTATAAAATCCAAGCTACTTGTATACTGCTACTGTAGGCATATAAAATTGCTTATAGGTCCCTTAGCACAGCTCGGCACAAACCGACGAACCAACGAGGCTGACCGATGATCGAGATTCGCACGCAAGCACGCGAATACATCCATTCGCCGTGCAGAATCAAACCAACGGTTCAGGGAGTCAACGAGTCATCCAACCATATAACAGATTCGAACTCAGACACCAAAGATTTACTGCCTAATCTGGATCCAGACTTCCAAATCAGGATTCAGAACAAATCGGGGTTCAGAGCAACGCCACAGGCGAACTCGGATTGAATCCGCGATCGAATCATGATCAGTTTGGAATCAAACTCAGAGTCGGACTATTGCCAAATCAGGAATCAAGTCAACGAATCGATTTCAGACCAATCAACCACAGAACCGAATCACGGATAGAACCAGAGCGGAAAACGACGAAACAACCATGCCTAAGGGGCTCAGCCAAAGCGAGCCACCAAAGGTGGCTCGGCTAAGCCGAGCCACCCATGGGTGGCTCGGTGCCGAGCCACCATGGGTGGCTCGGCCAAGAGCCGAGCCACCTATGGGTGGCTCGCCCAGTGCCGGC